AACGACAGATAACACAAATAGTAGCATTAGTTATTAATATTATATATTTGATCTGTGTTTAATGTGTACTGTCCTCTATGCTCGAACAGTACCTGGTCCCAGATTTGCTGTGTGGTAGTATGTAGAGTTAACACATTAATTTAGCACAAAACTAATTACGACCTTACAAGTATTTATTTATTTATTTATTTTACACGGCTTCTCTTGGTGCATATTCCCAAACATATTCTGAATTAATTTAGCACAAACCAGTTTAGAGACAATAAGTCTGAAGCTTTCAGAAAGCTCAGCTTTTACTATTGTTTAAATGAGCATGTCCTGTCCTGTTGCTGTGCCAGTGCAGTGATAAACAGTACTGTACAGTGGTTTGTGTTCAGATAACAGATCCTGTGTGTTTACTTATATGTTTACCCTGTCGAGCTCGTTGTCCTTGTCTTTTCTGCTGTATTTATGCCTATTTCTGTGTGCTATGTACATTGAAAGCAACAGAAAACCGGAGTCAGATTCCTTGTAAGTGTACACATACCTGGCCAGTAAATGTGATTCTGATACTGTAGCATCTATTTGGATTTTCCACAAGGAAAAGTTGAGAAGTTGGAAATGATTTAAAGCTCAATATCTACATAAATCTACATAGTAAGTAATGTTTATCTCATAATTTTGACTGATACATTTCAATTGTCAGTTGTTTATTGTATTTTTCCTAACAGAAACAGGTATATCTACCAAGGGTCATGTTTATAATTACTACTGTTGCTTTCTATTATGATTTTTAGGCTCAAACATTAGCAGAAGTCTAAATTAAACTTCACAAAGAACATTAAATTGTCCAGCACCACTGAAATAACTTTGGGTCAGTCTACACTTTATTGTTAGTATAAAATTAGTGTTAATATGTTCATTAATCTTCAGATCAGCACTGTGCAGGAATCTCAAGTAGAAATTAATTCACTCCAACTTTTGCAGATCAGTTTTAATTCCAGTGCAGCATAGAGTCAACACACAGTGCGATATAATGATAAATAAAAGTGGCTGCATTAAGCCCTACGCTAGATTTCTCATTTCAAATGTCACATGTTAATGTCAAAGACTAAACATCTTACACAGTTTTGAATCTTTAACATTTCCTTTCATTTCAGTTCCACAACCAAAAATCATCTCTTTGCTGTTATTATATTTATCCAGCTCACTGACACAAAGTACTTGATGAATTTTATTGTTCTTTTTCAGCAGTTATCCATGCACCACATCTACAATGATATATTCCACCAAGCTGCAGTGTCACAGAGTTAAGTAATATTAGGATAAACATTATGTCCTTTATTTTTACTTCATATACAAGGGGACCCAGGAGACCCTCTTACAATGAGTTTCAGCAGAATCTGGAGGAATAATGAGCTAACACGGAGAGAGGGAAGCCGACAGGGGAGTGAAAACATACAAACAAACGCGCTGAAGGTTGCAGCAGTGACGGAAAAAAGGATCTTTCTTCTCTCAATGTGGCACCTCGGAGGAGCAGCACAGCCGCTTTTCCACAACAAGAAGGTTTTCAATAACTTTTTTTGCACCCGGATCCAAATTTGATCCCTGTGACTGAGATCCCACTCTCAGCCATGGGGGACCTGAACACCACCACCACCAGCTTACTTGTCACCCTCAAGCAGACAAATTAAACAGAATTATATGGTAATATGCATCAACTGAGCACAATATAAACGTAAATAAAGATTGTGTATTATTTCTAGAATGTGATTTTCCAATCCATATTACATTTGTTAGGTTTTTTTTAAGGCAAAAAACTACACTGGAAAAACTTAAGGAACTTCGTATTCTCCACCAAAACTTGGCACCAGACTATAATGTCAGAGGGTATTTTACTTTACAAGTTAAGTTTTGTAAGTTACAAAAAAATATAACTGAATATTTGAATAGATGTGGTTTTCCTTTGTACAGAGTTTGGTTGGTGGTTGGTTAAAAAAAAACATATTCTTCATGACATACATGGCACCAGACATAATGTAAGGACATACAATTGACAAGAAATATAGTTCAACAGTTAAATAAATAGAATATGAT